TTCAGTACGAACCAATGCGCTACCTCCATGTCATTTCTAGAAAACGACTCTCCGCGTCCAGGATCTCCGAAGGGTCGTGCGCTTTGGGCAAAAACAGAAAGTTTTTCATTTCTCATACCTCCATCATGATTGCGCTGAGGACGATTGAAAACCGTCTCCACATCTTTTAAATACATTCCGCAGAAAGTAAGCGACTCATATTGAACCCAAGCCTCTACGATTGATCCTTCGGGCTTCGCCCTGTTGCGTACACTTTTTTTCAGCTCTCCGAGAAGCCTGCCAAAATAAAACGATATGATTGAAATTAGCAAGCATGTGATAATGATGCATACACAAATGATAAGGATTATATACCTTTCTATTGGATACATCCAGCGATAGTTGACAGGACCAGCAAGTAATGCCTCTTCTGGCAAGTGAACCATCACGTGCATCATACTTGTGAAGAAAGCTGGAGGAAATATCATCTCAAACTTGCATAGGACTTGGACAATGTCATGGCGCAACTGAAACATGTCCGTTTTTCGCAAAGTTTTCGCCGTCAGTTGGGAAAAAAATCTGGACAACAAAATGATTGGCTTCACTACATCTTCCGGCAATAGGTGTCGAATACCAACAGGAAGTAGGCGTTGCATAAACACATGACAGTCATGGCTTTTAAGTCCAGTAAATTTACCCCCGTCAACATTCACACAACGTGCGATATTAGAAGCATACCCATCGGGAAACTTTACTGACGATACAAACTTTAGAAACTCTTTCTTGTCATTCGGTTTCATAGAAAAGAATGCAAGATCCCTTCTAGCTTTATCATTGTCCCTATTCATCCATAAACCCCTTCGTATGCCCATTCTTTCCAAATCAAGACGAGCTTTGATCGTGTCCTTTGTCTTCCCCTCGATATCTAGAATCGTGCCCACCAATGTGTCGAATACATTTTTCTCAACATGCATCACATCTAGATTGTGCCTCAATTTTAGTTTCGACCAATATGGGAGCTCAAAAAACATAGGTTTGTGCGTCCAGTTCATATGTGTAGAAGGTCTGATACGACTAACTGTTTTCCCGAAGGGAGCAAAATCCAACCGGTTCAGCTGGTCCAATATCTCATCACCGGACCATTCTCTGGGTCTAAGGCGACGCTCAGTGTTCCCGTCGAACTCTTTATCTTTTTCCCTCCACTCATGGTCCCATGGCAACCATCTCCGATGACCAAGGTAACAAACTTTTCCAGCATGCCAACCAGAAGTTACATCTTCCTTGCATACAGGACATGCCATATAACCTTTTGTGCTCCACCCAGAAACCATTGCATATGCTGGGAAATCATTCACAGTCCACATAACTGCTGCCCGCAAAGTGAACATCTTCCCAGTTGATTTATCGTACGTGCGAACACCGTTTGTCCACAAATCCTTGAGCTCATCAACCAGCGGCCTTAAGTAAACATCGATTGACCTCCCAGGATCCTCAGTTATCAAAACAGTCATCATCATGTATTCTTTTTTCATGCATTTCCAAGGCGGCAAATTATATGGGAATACGAAAATCGGCCAAGTGCTGTGGTGTTGGTTTAGAACCCCATACGGATTGAATCCGTCAGTGGCAAGTCCCAATCTAACATTTCGGGGATCAGCAGCAAACTCTGGGAACGTTCGATCGAACTCTTTCCATGCCTCCCCATCTGCAGGATGCCGCATCACATCATCGTCTACCCGTTTTTCCTGATGCCATCTCATGTCTGTGGCAGTATGCGTCGACATATACAATCGCTGCAACCTAGGTTTCAGGGGCAAATAACGCATGACTTTTTGTGGGATCTTAGTCGTCCTATTCTGAGATGTCATCTTGAACCTCGACTCATTGCATATAGGACATGTATCCAACGATTCATGCTCTTTGTAGAATAACATGCAATTGTTTTTGCAAGCATGGATTTTTTCATAACCCAATCCAAGACCATTCAACACCTTCTGCGCCTGTTTATGGTCTTTCGGCAAACAATTGTCCGTCGGAAGCATTCTCTTGAAAACCCCCAAAAAGTAATCGAAACACAGGTTCGACATACGATACTTTATTTTTCCGTGCATTAGCTCCACAATGGCCGTGAGAACGGAAAAGCTCTCGCACCCCGGGTATAACTCTTGGTTGGCATTTTTTAACAATTTCTCATATTGTTCAAACTCCGCACTGTCTATTGGTGTAGGCACATCATCTTGCTCTTCTTGATTCATGTTGGTCGATGCAAATGGAAAAACATCCTGTATAATATCCATGACTTCATCATTAGCATCCACAATAGGTTGAACATTGTCCACTCTTGTGGCATTTGAAGACGAAGCATGCTCTAATTGTTCCCCGTGAAGGTTCCAAATGCTATATGTCTCAATCATTCCATTTCTTACTAAATGAAATCCAACATTTTCAATTGTCTCCCATAACGTGTTGTTGCACCTCCTACAAGGACAACGGATTCTAGTTGCACCCGGGTTGTGTCTACGTGCAAACTCAATAAAATCCTCGATTCCATCCAAGTATTCGTCTGCGCATCTGTTAGGGTTTTGTATCCACCTTCTGTCCATAATTCCTGAAACCAGAATCACAACACAACAATCACAACAACTTCATACGAAGTTATAATGTCACCTTATGCCTCCGGTAAGGGTCCTATCCCATTCGGGAATGCATACTCCTGCCACGTAACCTACGACTACATGAGATTAGATTTCGACGTGGATGAATTTCGCCAGCATCTCGCTACAGTTCTTGAGGTGGCCATAGGTATAAATACCTATGTACCACCCGAAGAACGTACCGAGATGACAACGAAATATCCACAATCGAAACCTAATCCTGTAGCCATAGATTACGTGACAACACTATGCATTACCAAACTGTCCAAATAATGGGACAATTCAAGAATTAATTGGACCGCAGTCATGCATTACGCATCCATGCACGAAATCCAACTAATCTCGAACGGGAAACTAAGTGTTACTAAACATAAAAATAAAAGCACGAAGTTAATTTCAATTAACTTCGTACATCACAACAGATTGTACTACGTTACGCACAACATAATATAAATATAACTTCACAAGAACATTTTAAACATATATAAAACAAATAAAATACCTTCTCAATCGTTCTCCACCAATCGCTAATTACAAATATCCCTAACGAAAACAAATTAAAAAACCTTAGTACGAACTTAAATTAATACTTTTAAACTAATGACGAAAAATACTTACCCAATCAATGTATTGAAATCCTAGCAGCAGCAGAGAGGTTGAGAGAGAGGCAGAGGCAGAATGCTTTGTTTTTGCATTCTGCCTCTGCAATGGCAGAATTCTAATATGAAGAAGAAGGACTTTGCGCGACGAACAAACTTATTCGTCGCGCAAAGTCCCGTCGCAAAAAACCAAATTATTCGTCGCGCAGACCCTTTTTTTCGTCGCGCAAACACCTGCCGACATCTAACTTTTGCGCGACGCTGGTAATTTTCGTCGCGCAAAACTTCGTCGCGCAAGATTGTCGCGCAAAAACATAATTCCGTCGCGCAAAACAGGGTATTCGTCGCGTAAACGTTGAACTTTACGCGACGAAACGTTAGTACGTCGCGCAAAAAAAAATATCCCACCCAGGTCATTTTTGGCGCCAAAAAATAAAATATCTCTTGTTCTCTTACGCGACGAAACGTCTTTCCGTCGCGCTAAATCAGGGGACTGTCCTATTTGCGCGACGGATAATTTGTTCGTCGCGCAATGTTGCCTTCAGCGACGATATTTCTCGTCGCGCAAATGTTTCGCGCTAAAAAAAATTCCCCGCCCTTTTTTTAACTCAGTTTGCGCGACGAATAATGTTTTTTGTCGCGCATATACATTTTGCGCGACGAAATAGTTTGGTGGCGCAAATTTTCAGTGCATTGCGCGACGAAAATGTTTTTTCGTCGCGCAATTATTGTTTGAGCGACGAGTTGATCTTCGTCGCGCAATGTTTCGTCGCGCAAATAGTGAAACGTAGTAGGAGAAAAAAAAACAAAAAAAAAAAAAAAAAAAAAAAAAAAAAAAAGGGGAAAAAAAAAAAAAAAAAAAAAAAAAAAAAAAAAAAAAAAAAAAAAAAAAAAAAAAAAAAAAAAAAAAAAAAAAAAAAAAAAAAAAAAAAAAAAAAAAAAAAAAAAAAAAAAAAAAAAAAAAAAAAAAAAAAAAAAAAAAAAAAAAAAAAAAAAAAAAAAAAAAAAAAAAAAAAAAAAAAAAAAAAAAAAAAAAAAAAAAAAAAAAAAAAAAAAAAAAAAAAAAAAAAAAAAAAAAAAAAAAAAAAAAAAAAAAAAAAAAAAAAAAAAAAAAAAAAAAAAAAAAAAAAAAAAAAAAAGCAACCCGCAGTAGTGGCCAGTTAAACTAGACTGCCTTCAGCTTGTTTTTGCAATTCATCCTAAACACAAAGACATATAAAAAAGTCAGCACAAGAAAACACACGACGGTTATTATAAACCAACGACGCTTATATAATTTCACACGACGCAAAAATATAGAAATCGACGTTTAATATTTTATACGACGTTACTTAAAAACGACGTGGTTATTGTTTCAAACGACGCAATAAATAACCACCGACGTCTTTGCTGTAATTACAGAAAACAGAGTTGTGATTCCAGATTTAGATCTTTCACGACGTTTTTGAAAACATTTCGACGTAGTAATATCATTCACACGACGAAAAATTAACCACCGACGTCTTATGCTATAATTACAGAAAACAGGGTTGTGATTCCAGATTTAGATCTTTCACGACGTTTTTTAAAACATTTCGACGTAGTAGTAAAATCATTCACACGACGGAAAAATATAACATAAGACGTAATAAGAATTATACACAGTTAATAAAAATTTAAAACAGAGTGTGTGGAGCTTACAATTAATTTTGCTTTTTCTGCCACCTTTGGATCCGGGATGTTACCCATGTTTGTCCTGTCTAGCTTTCTCTTCCATAAGGTAGATCGATCAATTTCTACCCCAGGCATGGGTTTCCTCCAATTGATCCTCCAAACCAGAATATCCTTTTCGAGACAATCGATGATTGTACTCAAGTTTCTCCCTAATCTGTGAATGTTGAGAATGCACAGACTCAAATTCTTTGGATAAACCTTGAAGCTACAAAGGCATCCCATTCTGCTTTCTCTATGAATTTATATACTTCAGGGGGTTGGCTTAATTTCTCCCTCTCCTTGATGTATGAAAGGATATAATGCCTCGTCAGTGTAGACTTGAAATCCTTCCATTTCTTGGCAGCAGAAGATAACACCGAGGTCTTGCCCCCTTGACCTACCACAAAAGCCATGTCAACGGCTTCCCAAATCTGCTCCTTTATATCCTTGGGGATTTCAGCCCATTTCTTGTCCACAAGTGGGACTCTGGAGCGTGCCAACACACCAATGTAGGACTGCATCTCAGTATGTGCAGGGCCACATCCTTTCCCCCTTTTATTGTACTCAACAACTTGCTTGATTTTCTGCAATTTTCTCTTCACAACACGAGGCATTGTGCTCATACCTCGACCTGACTTTGAATCCTCAGAAATTGTTGTCGTGCTGGTTGGTTCTGTCTCAGCAGATGAAACAAACTTCATCTTCTTCAAGGGCTTGTCTTGAGGAGTTACCATTCCAAGCTCCTTACCTCCATTTTTTTTGGAGCCAGAGTCCTTACTTTGGTCTTGAGAAAACCATGGTTACAGAAAAACAAACCTGCAAGTGAAAATATTTCAGGAAAAAATTAGAACACAATGACGGTTATTTATAAAATACGACGTATGATAAGATTTTACACACGACGTAATAACATAACATCAGACGTAATAAATGTTTAAAGAAGAAAAAATATAAATGTTTAAACAACGACGAAACAATATTAAATAAGATGTAATAAGAACTTATTACGGTGATATTTACACAACGTCGTGATATTCAATTAACACGACGTAAATATTAATATAACGTCGTGTTATGGATATTCACACGACGTGAATAATAAGCTACCGTCGTATTTATAAGAAACCAAAAACATTTTTCTTTCTCTGTGAATGTTTGATTGCAGGTTTAATTTCTCTGAAACATGGTTTTTGTTTTTCCTAATTTGATAAAACAAAGAAAAAGAAAGAAAGGTTTGGCATCTTTTATAGACGACGGTATCTTAGTATAACGTCGTGGTATAAACATTCACACGGCGTCAATAATAATACCGTCGTCTATATAAGATACCAAACCCTACTTTCTTTGTCTTTGTATTTTATCAAATTAGGAAAAACGAAAACAATGGTTCAGAGAAATCAAACCTGCAACTAAACAAGCAAATAAAAAATTGACCGTCATTTTAAAAACAACTTAGATCAATTTTAAGACGACGCTAGGACGACTGACGAACCGTCGTGGTCTACATATTTAACCACGTAAATAAGAAGCTACCGTCGTCTTATTTAGTTGAATTAGTTGTGTTCAAAGTTGGAAACTTTCCCTCTCTGTCTGTGTATTTTATCAAACTTGGAAAGAATAAAATGATTTTCGCCAGAAAAAAGGTAAAAAGATTTTCAAAACAAAAACCGTATGAGCATGCAAAATAGCAACAAAAATAGTGAGAAATGAAAGCTTACCTTTTGTGTGCAATGAAAGCTTTCTCTCGGAGTTTGGTGTTTAAGTTCAGAGACGACGACGAAGACGATGAGATACTCTGACAGTGCTCTGACAAGGAAAAAAGACGAAAAGTTTTCTCTGGGAGATTGAAATTTTTTCTCAGGTTTGGAAACAGTGCATGTGTAAGTCAGGTAGACGAAAAGTTGTATATATATACAAACCGTTTCATAGTAATAAGACGGCGGTTTACATAGAACGACGACGTATTAATAGACAAACTACGACGATAATTTGAACTTAGAACGTGGTAAATAAATACGACAGTAGTGTTGTAGGTACCGCCGTAGTAAACTCCTAAATAAAAGTCGATAACTCAATATCTCGCGTCATGGTAGAAATATTTAACACGACGGTTTTTTGTAATTTACCGACGTTTATTTTTATAATATACGTCGTTTTGTTGTAATATACCGACGTGGAATTTGTAAATAGACGGCGGTTTTGTGTAAGGACCGCCGTGGGTTTAAAAAATTTATTGTATAAATTTGTCACTTTCTTTCAGTTTCAGTTTTCATTTAGGTTTCCAAGTTCTTCCTCTCTCAAAGACACTTTCTCTCACATCTCGAAGACAATAATTTGGATGTCTTTCTCCAACAAATCTATGTCCACAAGAGGAAGCTTGTCAATCCTGATAGGAGACTTAGTGCTTCTGAATACTCCTTGCTTTCCATCAAAAGAGATGCAAGCCTGGCCTCCACTCGCTGTCGAAGGAAAGTTCGCTTCTCAGGGAAACCTGAAGATCAGATGTCAGCCTCTGCTCGATTTTCTTGGCTAAGAAGATCCGTTAGGTTTGTGATAGAAGAAGATGGGTTATCGGCATTAGTGAAGAAGATGGGTTATCTGTAGAGCTTCTGAAGAAGAAGATGGGTTTTCAAGAATGCGATAAAGAGTAGAAATGGCTTCAGAAAGAGAACGGTTAAAGAAATTGAAACAACGACGGTTTTATGTTCTACCGATGTCTTTTTGTAAACTAAGACGACGTAATATTTTTTTTTGCGACGTGTATTCGTTTTTAAAACATCTTATGTGTAATATAACCGACGTGGATTGTATTTTTATAATTATAAATAGAATTTTTTTTTCCCTTGTTCTTTCAGTTTATTTTTCAAAAATAGTGCCTTATAAATAGAGTTTTTTTTCCCGAGGAAATTAATGTTCTAGAATTTGTAAAGTTTCTTTTTTTTAATTTAAAACGACGCGATATTTTTTCGCGACGTGGATTCTTTTTTAAACCTCGTTATGTGTAATATAACCGACATGGATTTTATTTTTATAATTATGAATATAATTTTTTTTCCCTTGTTCTTTCAGTTTATTTTTCAAAAACAGTGCCTTATAAATAGAGTTTTTTTTCCCGAGGAAATTAAAGTTCTAGAATTTGTAAAGTTTCTTTCTGGGGGACTGATTTAAATCAAATACCAATATAAAAACAACGACTGTTTGTTGTTATGCCGTCGTCTTTTTTAAACTAAAACAACGCAATATTTTTTTCGCGACGTGGATTCGTTTTTAAATGTCGTTATGTGTAATATAACCGACGTGGATTTTATTTTTATAATTATAAATATAATTTTTTTTCCCTTTTTCTTTCAGTTTATTTTTCAAAAACAGTGCCTTATAAATAGAGTTTTTTTTCCCGAGGAAATTAATGTTCTAGAATTTGTAAAGTTTCTTTTCTGGGTGACTGATTTAAATCAAATACGAATATAAAAACGACGACTGTTTTTTGTTATACCGTCGTCTTTTCTTGTCGTATTAAGTAAGACTAAAACGACGTAATGTATTTGTTTACCGACGTGGATTATTTTTGTTAAACGTCGTTATGTGTAATATAACCGACGTGGATTTGGTTTTTTAATTATAAATAGGATTTTTTTTTCACAGGTGCTTTCAGTTTTAGTATTCGATTAGGGTTTCAACTTCTTCTTGCCCCTTTCTCTGTCTCACCTCATCTCTTGGGAGGCAATTGTTTGAATGTTGGTTTGTGTGTATGTTTGTGTATCTAATTCACAAACATACACACATCACCAATTTTCAAAAAATTGTCTCTCTGATTGCAAATCTGTGGCTGCCGTCGTGAAATTTTAGGAGGCAATTGTTTGGATGTTGATGTGTGTGTGCGTTTGTGTAGATACACAAACGCACACATATCATCAACTTCCAAAAAAATTGTCTCTCTGATTGCAAATCGAGGCTGCCGTCGTCAAATTTTAGAAGCAATTTTTTGGATGTTAATGTGTATGAGCGTTTGTGTATCTCAAAGACACAAATACACATACATCATTAACCTCTAAAATATTGTCTTTCTGGTAAGATTATGATGAGCAACAGAGTTCCATCTTGTAAGATTTCCTAACCCTTGTGATCTCAAAATAATCTGATTATGTCGGCGGTTTTCTATATAAACCGTCGTGGTTATTTCAATTCTTGTCATTAAGTAGATCTACCGACGTAGGATAACAAAATCCAAGAAATAAATTGTTAAAAAAAAATTCTTATTCAGACGACGGTTTAAATATAATGTATGACGTATAAAGTGGACAAATACGACGTTAAATTGTATAATACGTCGTTAAATGAAAACCCCAACTTGGTAAGATTTAAAGATATCATCGTAGAAATACGAGAAAGACGTCGTTATATTTATCTTTGCCGTAGTTGTACATTAATTTAATACGACGGTATTTTGTATTTTACCGCCGTGGATTTATTTGTAATTATACGGCGCCTTATATGAAAACTTGGTCGTGTTAATTTCTGGGTAAAAATGGCGGCTTTTTTTGAAATCATCGTCTTTACTTTCTACGTCGGTCGGTTCATAACTTCCGCCGTTATTTGTTGGCTATGATTTTACCACTTGAAAATCCTATTTCAATAAGACGTCGGTTTTTTAATTAAGTACGTCGTGTTTTAGGAACAGCCATTTGAATCTCCATTTTTTAGTTGTCTAAGGTGTTATTACACGGCGATTTTATAAAACCGTCGTCTTTTAAAAAACAACGACGGTTTTCACTTAGACCGTTGTGTTTTTCTGGTCGTCTTTTTCACTTTTTGTAGTAGTGCTTACAAATGTTTCTTCAATGATCCAAATGATCTATTTTTTAAGTATATATTTATAGATCATCTTTGCAAAAAATTAGACAAATTGAAAACCGTTTTGTAATCCAAATGATGTATGAACTTTTCTATTTATAAATAATTCCTAAAGTATGTGAATTAGTCTGAAAAGGCAAGTGATGCATCTCTTTATTTAAGAGACGCAAAGTCACATATTTTTGAGTTTAATAACAGAAAATTAATAAATTTTCCAACAACCCCATCTGCATGAGGCCGACGAGGTTTAGTTGAAGTCATTCTGTTTTCTATTTCTTAGTATTTGTGTTTTGTTTATGCAATCCTTTAACTTTTTGTTTTGAGTAGTTCAGTTGAATGAATTTTCTGATCATTAGTGTAAGTGTATGCAATAACCATGATTCATGAATAGTGGTTTCTGCAAAAACAATTTCTTCAAATATCAGGCCAAGTAAAAAAGTATCAGTCTCTCCAACCCATATTGCTGCAGGTTAACCAGGTTAGCTTTCTTTCCCACTTTTAGTTCAGATTCATATTCATTTTTGTTGGCTTATTTATCTGTTTGGCTTCCATATGACGCAAGTATAATAAATTTTGGCTACTCAAATTTTTTTAAAAGTATTATTTCTTGGTAGCTGTTTCCATTGCTGAGTATTTCAACTTTTTTTTTTTTTTTTTTTTTTTTTTTTTTTTCTTTGTTTGGAAAATAAAATTTAGGACTTCAGGTTGTTAGGTAGTTTCCATTCGCATTTCTTCATGTTATGGTTGTTCTTTCTTTGATATCCTCTCCACATATTTCTACCTTTTTTTAATGCCATAAAAATGATCCAATTTTGACCTTGACTGTAGTCCTCTATCTAGGAAGTCTGCTTCTAAAAACACTATCCTACCCCACTTATTATTGCATTTGTGGATGAATATTGGTTTTGATGACTTGGAGGTGATGAAGCGAGGATAGTTGGATAAGAGACCAATTAGATGTTCCGTGTCGTTAATATTTGGACTAACATTTGTGTAATTTTTTTTGACTTCTTTTGCCTTTGTTTTCTGATTTCATCTTTGAGCTCTGTGTGAAGTTTTTTTAGTTCCTTATTTCATGCTTACTTAGAATTGTGCTGTATCATTTTCTTATGAAGTATAACCCACCGTCTAGCTAGAATTGGTTTGTCCCTTGAGATTGATATGTTGTTGTGGTTTGAAGATGTTCTTTTTGCTGAATGTAATTCTTTTTGAAGTTTAAACTATCTGAAAAAAAAAAGCAACTAAAATAGTACAACAACAAAAATCACACGGTTTCGTCCAAAAAAAATAAATAAATCACAAGTTATCACTGGTGAAATGAGATAAACCACATGTCATTTACTTCCTCCATTTATTATAAGATGATAATAATTATGAGGGCAACAATTGAACCAAGAGCATCAATGCAGAATATGTGGCCTGCATCTATCGAGAGGAAATGAACATAAATCTAAGCATAAAGCTCCAATTTAGATAGCCTGGGTGTTGGAATGACAATCAATGGAGTCATTTTCTTTGTCACAATCCCAAATTTGTCTTGAAGGTCAAGCTTTGCATCAGTGGGCAACCTCCACTCAAATGAATGCAAAAATGAAGCCAACACATAGATCATCATCTTCTCTGCTAAGGGAAGCCCAGCACACATTCTTCTTCCAGAACCAAATGGAAGATATTCCAACTTATTGCCCTTGTAATCAAAGTTGTTGCTAGGGGGGTCATTGAGGAACCTCTTGGGCCTAAACTCTAAGGGATTGTCCCAAAGATTAGGGTCTCTGTGTATGGCCCAAATATTTGTAAAAATGACTGAACCTTTTGGTATGTAGTACCCTCCAATGGTGGTGGATTGACTTGGACAACGGGGAACCAGAAGAGGCAGAGCAGGGTGCAATCTAAATGTCTCCTTAATCACAGCATCTAAATAATGTAATTTGGGTATATGAGACTCTTCAACCATGTTTTTCAACCCCACAACTTCTTTCAGTTCTTCTTGAACTTTTTTCAGGTCATCTGGGTGTTGTATCAGCTCAGCCATTACCCATTCCACCATTGTTGCTGTGGTGTCAGTCCCACCCACCACAATGTCCTGTTCAAAATAATCGAACTGTTAAGAGTTTAGGAAACAAAATGATGGGTTATATTTTAAATTACTTCTTAGTATCCCTTGTGTTAGAATTTGTAAATTTTGCTCTTGAAAATAAACTAAGAATACACACACATAGGTATATCAGCAAAAGTTTATGTAGTGTCAAAAGAAAGATGTTATACAGTGAGTCTCCCACGCATGCCCAAGTGGAGGAATTGTAACTGAAGTATCTTCTTAAATGTTGTCAAAAGTAATGCTAAAGTCATGTATCCAGAGCCATGAATCACTTACGGGTACGAATAGAAAATTCTAACCCTTGATGAATTGTGGGCCAGAACTAAAGCATTTCTTAAGCGGTGTCAAAAGTAAAGCTAAAGTCATGTATCAAGAGCCAGAATCACCTACTAATCGTGTGTGGTCAACTGACTACACCACAAATCAAAGATAAGAATACTGTACCAATAGCAAGGCCTTAAGTTGTTGCAAAGTAATCGATTTTGCACCATCTTCATGATCATTAAGCTCCAACAAGAAATGCAAAAAGTTCTTCCTTTCATGTTTTAGATCTAGGCCCTCATCTTTCTCTACTGCCTCACTCT